CGTCGGGGGACGATCTGTTTTACCATTTGGGGCATTTTTTGCTTACTTTTTCATGTTTCGCTCAAGATCCCCCCTGTAGGGGGACATGCCCGACCTACCATGGGATCCAGGGGTGTGCCCCACGTGGGCGGCCCGTCGGGGCAGTGCAGGAAGCGGCGGGAGGAGGGGGGAGGAGGGGGGAGCACTCCGCGGCCGCGCTCCCGCCGGCTGCGAAGCCTCGGATTCGTCGTCCGGATGCTTCCCCCCGAGCGACAAAAGACCGATGCTCAGATGGTGCAGCGATGTGGTCGTGCAATTCGGGCTGGGGACGACGGGGCGAGGTTGTGCGGCGGCCTTCCCCGTGATACCCGCGTCAGCTATCATTCGTAGGCGCGGAAAGACGCTTGGCTCATGACACAGGAGTGGCTGAGGGGCATAAGGAGCGCAAGGAACCGGGATGAGCGAGGGGCATGATGAGAGCACAGACTCAACATAAGAGAGTCTGGTTCTGTGCGTCTTTCCGTTCCCTGTCAAGAGGATTTGTACGACTACGTGCGACGTTTTGGTTACTTGATGAGCGAGGTTTAGCTGCCACGAATCCGGGGTACTTGAGATCATTCGGATCGTGAGATTCGGCCTCCACCGCTCCAACTCATCCTCCACCTCTTCCTCCGTCCCGGTCGGTCCGTGTCTGTCTTTTCGGGCCTTCGGCTGCGCTCGTTTTCGGTCCCTTGTGATTTGTATATCAAGGAGCTGAGGCTGGACGCCAACCCACGTCTCAATAAGCCCCCCTTCCTCTACTCCACCCTCCTTCCGAGAGTGGAGCGTATCATTTCGCTGACTATCCGTGTGGTGTTGTTGCCGCGACTTGCGCAAGGGGGGGCTCCAGTCACTGGCACCCTCGCCTGGTCTTCTGGATTTTGCGGCGCTCCAATATTGGTAAGGCCTTACGGCCGGTGCCGCCGACCCTGAATGGCGACGACGACGACGACGACGACGAGCGCTCTTGGGGGCCTCTTGGGGGTAGTTGGTGGGCCTCTTGGGAAGCTTTGAGGGGCCGCTTGGAAGCCTCGTGGGGGCCTCTTAGGGCTTCCTGGGGGTCTCTTGGAGGGGGCCTGGGACGTCTTGGAGGCTTCTTGGACGGTCTGGAGCTATCTTGGACGTTTTCGGCCGATCTGTGGGCGACTCGGGGCCCTCTTGGGCCGTCTCAGGGGCCATCTTGGGCATTCGGACCTCATTTGGAGTGTTTTCGAGGTTTCTAGGCCGCCCGAGGAAAAACTAATCTGCCCCCCCAGGCCCCCTCGAATCTGCCCCCCCACCCCCCCCACCCCCCCACCCCCCCCCCCCCCGGGACCCCTCCCCCCCATCCCCCCCGGACCCTCCCCTACCCCCCCGGGACCCCCCCCCCTGGGGAAGGGATCAAAGGGAAGGGGCTTCCCTTCGACTCGATTACGACACTGCTAGATTTTTCTCTCGCTCACGAGCTTGAGAAGGAAGCTGCAGGGAAAGGGGACGACGGAGGCGACGACCGACGGAGACGACGACTCGAACAGCCAAGCCCCTCGCACACGCCGACAGGGTCGGCGGATTTGGACCGCGAGGGGGATGATAATGGGGGAGGGAGAGAGGAGGGCGAGCGAGGAGGTGGTGGAGGAGGAGGAGGAGGAGGACGACGACACGCCGAGGTAGAGCGAGGAGGTGAGCGACGAGCGAGGAGAAGCGAGGGTGAGCGAGGAGGGAGGGGGTGAGGGGGAGCGATGAGGGAGGAGGGTGAGTGATGAGCGAGGAGGTGAACCAACATAAGACATGCAAATCACACCGCCGAGGCGGCACCCACGCGTGCGAACTTTTTTGTCCTCCTCCACACCATGCCCTCACTTCAGTACGGTAGGTTCATGCGGCGATGGCGCGCCGCCGACGCCAGCGAAGGCGTTCAAGGTTGAACTCCGCATGGTGGAACGACGTGGAAGCACCGAGGGATACGGTAGCGCTACGGGACCCGACGGAATTGAATTTTGAACGATCGGCGCCACGATCGGTTCAAGGTCGAACGATCGACGCGGTGTCAAAAACCTCTGCGCGCGCCGACGCCGGACGAACCTACCGTACAGTCCCTCATTCTCTCCCCCACCCCCGCCCTCCTCTCCCCACCTCTGCCCTGGCTTCCATCCCCGCGGGGTGCGCTGCTCCAGTCGTTCCGAGTGGCTTTCTCGCGTCAGCGTGGGTGAGTCGTCCCTCCTTGCCGGCCCCCTCCCTCCCCTGGGTTCTCGCGCTTGACTATCACATTCCTACTCCTCCTCCTCTTCCTCCTGCACCTGCTCCTCCTACTCCTCCTCATCCTCCGCCTTCTTCTTATCAACCTCCTCCTCCCATGTATAATGCCTCCCTTTCCGACAACGCAGAAAACAAGAGGCGCATCAATGGCCTTTAAGACACCCCAGCGGCAGATAGGAATCGATTCAACGCAATGGGAAGGGATGGGTCGGAGGAGTAGGATGTCAGATGTGGCGCGAGAGCACTTAGCTTGTTCCTCTCCCCTCTCCTCTCTCCTTTTCCCCGTCCCCTCCCTCTACACTTACTCAATCTGAGTACTCCACACTGCCCTCTCTCCCCTGAGGCTGTCCAGTGCTGCCGCTGCCTCGGCCGGAATCTGCATGAGTCTGCCAATGAGCCGAAAGAAATGGATATCGCAGGATGCCGGTCACACCAGCCATTCTTGGCCAGAGGCGTCGGGTCCGCCTTGCCTCAGCGAGTAGGACAGAACATAGCACGATGTTCGACGCAAAACGTATTCAGTAGGCTCGGGTACTACAACAGCTCTGAATATCTAGTCATAGAGTTGGTTCAATCTCATCCACAGGCTCTTAGGGGGCGATGGGACTTGGGCATCGCCAGTATGATCACTGAATCAGAGAGCTCTGCAGCTCATGTGTGAGGCCCAGAATGCATGCTTTCTCAAGTACTGATGAGGGCTATGCACGGCGGCAGTGCAAAGCGCTCTGCGATCTGAATCTTGATTCGGGCATTGTCGTCCTCGATGTCGTAGTCGCTTGTAGGATTTACAGGCGTGCTGGGCATGTCGCCAGGCGCTGTCGGAGGGAGCCAGAATTCATAATACACCAGAATTGAGTCGGGCATGTCCCTCTACAGGAGGAAGTATTCAAATATAGCAAACAAATTAGGCTGGGGACGATTTTTTGACTATTTTTGAATGTCTTTGTAGTTTTTGTTTAAACAATTGTTCGTCCAACATCCGCCTGTAGGAGGACATGCCCGACCTAATTCTACAATGGAGCCGTCATGGGGCTGCAATTCAAAACCTCCACCCTACTTCAGGCGGGCGCTCGGACCGCCAAGGTTTTCCGACCAGGTTCAATATAATTGGCACTGGGAATTGCAGATCACCTGATTTTTGTTTTTTCGAACGCGGGGGAGAGAATTGGTTCGAAGAGGCGCGTGACTGTCGCAGCTAACAGACAGCAAAATCAGCATTTCTGGAATGTTGCTTGGGTGGCGTTTTTCGCACTGCTATGGGTGTCTGGCTTCCGGGCCTCCCATGACACAGTGCATGCATTCAGAGCCCCGAGTCATCAGGGCTGGGGGCAGTCAGGAGTAGCTACAGATTCGCGCCGCGGAGACCCAAACTGGAGTGGACCCAGGACTGCAGTTATCCCCGATAATTCGGGCGCCCAACCTTCCCGCATCATCGGGGCTGGGGGCAGTCAGGGGTAGCTACGGGTTGGTGCCTCGGGGGCCCAAGCTGGAGTTACCCCGGACCGCAATTATCCAGAATAATTCGGGCGCACAATACATACATATTTCCTCGGGTGCGCATTGTTTCTTAGCACGCAGGTCTCAGTTGTCAATACTTGTATTTGTTACGGTTCGGCCCGAATCTGATCGGTCCTTCAGACATTGTTCACACTGTGCAGCGAAGGCCACATTTCAGGATCGACGCTTGTATCATGTCGTTGCGAACGACGCCTGCGCCCCAGCGCGGGCCACGCTTCAGGATCGGATTGCTTTCTCGTCGTTGCCGCCCCTCTTCTCCTCTTCTCCGCATTGGCCGTAGATGTCCACAAAAGCTGCCCCTGCCGCTCTTCCTCCTGCTCCTGCTGTTTTCCCTGTCTCGTCTTCCTCATCCGATCCATCGATCCATCCCGCTTATCCTCCTGCACATGCGCCGCCTCCTCCTCCAACGTGACCCCCCCCCTGATTGCGCATCACATGATGCGGCCATCTTGGGGATTAATGTCTTAGAGGACACCCCAGGTGATGGCTAGAGCAGCATGCAGCGCCGTGGGACAGGGATGGGCGGGGGCGGGGGCGAGAGGGGCGTGGGACGGCCTGCCCACCCCCTCCTGCCCCCACCCCGGTGGATGGCCAGAGCAGCATGCAGCGCCGTGGAAAAGGGGATGGGCGGGGGAGGGGGGCAGGAAGTGTCGAACATGGCGCGGGCGCGCCTGGCCTGCCCGCCCCCCTCTCGCGTCCCGTCGGGGAAACGTGAGACTCGGGTACGCCGGAACCCGGGTTTGCCGACGCCTGCTGCCCAGCGCGGCCTGGATTTCGGCGTTCCAGTTCTCGCGGGATGTATACCGCGTGAGGTCGCGTCAGATTTCAGCCTGGGGCTCGTCATGTTCATGATGGCCCTGTCAGGCCAGCCCGAATCCCCCGAGCCCGAGTCTTGCGTCTCCCCGACCCTGTCTCTTCGCCCTTACAGTAGAAGCCCATGCAAAGAGGCACCCTGCTTTCCTCAAGGGTGACCTGGGTTTCTAGGGTTTCGACGGTTTTGCAAGGGAGAGCGTGACGCTCCCACATCATAAATCAGTGGACATCCTGGTCCTGGAGTCTCAGGGTCGGGTTCTCAGCCACGCGCAGAGGGGGGGAGGGGGGAGGGCTTCTTAGAAGCGTCTCTGCTTCTAAGAAGCCCTCCCCCCTCCCTCCACCCCCTTGTGCGCGCCGCCAAGTTTCTTGTGGAAGGTTTCTTGTGGTCGAGCTCCTCAGCCTCCCGCCCGCGGCAGGAAGCGCATCGTCCAGCTGGACCTCGCGGGGCTCCTCGCGGGCACCAAGTACCGCGGCGAGTTCGAGGAGAGCGTGCGCTCCGATCCCCCCCCCTCCGTGGAGGGTTTCTCCGAAGGACTTAGGCGACCCGTTCTCCTCCTCCTCGTCCTCCTCCTCCTTCTCCCTCCACCCTCCTCCCTCCTCCCTCCTCCCTCCTCCTCCTTCTCCTCCTCCTCTTCCTCCTCCTCCTCCTCCCTCCTTCATCTCCTCCTCCCCCTCCCTTGTCCATCTTTCCCTCCACATCCTCCTCCTCCTCCTCCTCCTCCTCCTCCTCTTCCTCCCTCTCCTCCTCCTCGGGTCGCCTACGGCCCTGGGGGAACCCGTCCACCCTCTCCCCTCCTCGCGGGAGGCCATCCCGTGGCCCAATTCGCAATGTTGAGGTTTGCTGTTCGCTCCCGAGGATCATGGGCCCCGAGGGGCCCAAACGGCTGCCTGAAACCAGAGAGCACGACCCAGCGTTATCAGCCAGCGTCCGCCGCCGCCTCGCGGGAGGCAGGGGAGGGGCCTCCCTGCCCACCCCGCTCCGCGGCTCTTCCCCTCCCCTCCCCATCGTACGTCAGAGCGCTGGGCATCGCTCGGACGTATGCATTTTCTCTCGAGGGGGCCCCATCGAGGAGCATCCTGCATCGTCGAGCAACACAAACAAACACGCACGGAACCGAACAACACGGAGAACGGACGTCCGAGCGACGGCATGAGCGGGGCGGAGGAAAGTTCTCGCGTGTTATCTGACCAACATCGCCACACAACATCCTCATCACCACTCGAGGGCTACGGCCCTACCGCCGCGCTCCTGCAGGGCCGTCCCCTGGGACGTGTTCGGCGCTCCGCTCCGCTCCCTTCCTTTTCCCCGCCTCTCAGCCCTCCCCTTCCTCTCCCTCTCCCTCTCTCTTCCCCAGTTTCTCCTCCCGCCTCCGTCGTCCCTCGTCTTGCGTTCCTCCTCTCTCCTCATCCCCCTCCCCCTTCCCTCGTCCCTCCCCCAGCCATCCCCAGTCCCATCCTTCGGTCTTCCTCTCCTTGCTCTTCCTCCCCCTCCCCTCCTCCTCCCTCCCTGCCCCTCGTTCTCCCCCCTCCCTCCCCCCTTCCTCCGACTTGCCCACCTCCCTTTCCTCCCCCCCCTTCTTCCTCCCGCCCATTTCCTCATACAGTAGAGGCCCATGCCAAGAAACACCCTGCTTGTCTCCGGGGTGCCCTGGGTTTCTTGGATTTCGATGGTTCTGCTATGGAAAGCGTGCCGTTCCCACACAAGTCAATGGACGTCCTGGGGTCTCAGGGTTGGGTTTCTTGTGGAAGGTTTGTCGTGGTCGGACCCCTACTGTAATTTTCCCCGTCCCCTCGTCCTCCGCCTTGCCGTCCCCCTCCTCTGGGCCCTCCCCGCGCCCAGCACCACGCCCCCGCCCCCCGCGTCTGGAGCCGCGGCGCCCCTCCGCTCGCCATCGGGTAATTTCGCAGAGGGGGGGGAGAAAGAGAGAGAGAGAGAGAAAGCGAGAGAGAGAGAGAGAGAGAGAGAGAGAACGAGAGAGAGGGAAAGAAAGAGCGAGAGAATGAGAGAGAGAGAAAGAGAGAGAGAGAGAGAGCGAGAGAGAGAGCGAGAGAGAGAGAAAGAGAGAGGCGCTCGAATCGCGGGCGCGGGCGCGCGCGCGTGCGGGCCAGGAGCGCCTGAAGAACGTCATCAAAGAGGCGCTGCGCGGGAGGGGAAGGAGGAGGAGGAGTGCCCGTGGTGATTTCGGTTTGCATGTCTTCTTCTGTCATAGTTCTCTCTCTTGACTTGTCTATATACATGTTCATTTACGAATGTCAATGTGCATGTATGCATTTAGATATTGGTATGTGAACTTGTATGTATAAGCACGTATTTGTGTTGCCTGTCTGCCTGCCTGCCCGCCTGCCTGCATGTCTGCCCGCCCGTAAACCGGTATGTCTGTATGTCTGTATGTATGAATGTATTTATGTGTGTATGTATGGATGCTTGTATGCCTGTATGCTTGTATGTCTGCATGCCTGCATGTCTGCATGTCTGCATGCATGTATATATGCATGCATGCATGCGTATGCTTGTTTGACCGTATGTTTGTATGTCTGCCGATACACCTGTGTGTATGGATGCATGTATGCATGTTTGCATGCATGCATGTATGTAGGTAGATGTGTAGACATGTGCGTATGTCTGCATGTCTATACATATGTATATATATATATGTATATATATGTACGTATGTAAGGATGCATGTATGTATGTACGCACGTACGTAGGTACGCACGTACGTGTGTATGTACGTACGTATGTCGGTTTGTTTGTCTGTATGTATATGTATATATATAGGTCTGTATGTATGTCAGTATGTGCGTGTATGTACATGTATGTATGTCTGTATGTCGGTATGCATGTATGTATATATGCAGGTATGTGTGTACGTATGTACACATATATGTGCGCATGTATGTATACATTAGGTATGTGTGTATGTATGCATGCATGTGCATATGTATGTATGTATGTATATATGCACGTGTGTATGTATGTTTGTATGCATGTATGCATGCATGCAATTCTGTATGTAGGTATGCACGTATGCATGTATGTACGTATGTACGTATGCATGTATGTATATGTGTATGGTATGGTATGATATGGTATGGTATGGTATGTCTGTCTATATGTATGTATGCATGTAAGTACGTATGCATGTGTGCGTGCAAGTTTAACTGCATGTGTGAAGGTGTGTTTGTTTGTATGTATGCATGCATGCATGCATGACTGCATGTATGTATGTATGTTTGTCATGCATGCATGCATGCATGCCCGTGTGTGTTTTGTGAGTCTCTCTCTCTCTTTATACTCTGTATCTCTCTCTCTCTCTCTTTCTCTCTCTCTCTCTCTTGTTCCTTCTGTCCTGCGCATGGAGGTCACTGCGCCCAGTCCTCCGACCCATGCCCCCAGCACGGCCAGATCTTTGTTGGACTGCCGAATGGCGAGATGGCTTCCTGGGATCACCGAGACACGCACGCTCACCTCCGCCGGGCGACCCCGCCCGCGGCGCAGGTGCTCGACTCGAACAAGGAGGTGATCCTTATGATCGACGAGATCCACACACTCGTCGGGGCTGGCGGCACCGGAGGTCCGCCCCCCACGCCCCCCTCCAGAGGAGCTCGGCGACTAAAAAGGGTATGCTTACGCTGGGGTGTAGCTTGCGATGGGCGCCGCTGGGGCCTGGGGAGCACGACACCGTCCTCGTCGGGCCTCCTCGGGGCGCGGCGGAGAGCTCTGTCGAGGTCCTCGCCCGCCCCCCCAATGTTCTGCCCAGGGTGCCGCTTGCAAACCGCACCCTTTGCAAGCCACATCCTTCGGAGTCACCGAGGAGCAGGAGGGGGGATCGAGGAGAGGATCGAGGACCGAGGAGGAGGAGGAGGAGGAGGAGGAGGAGGAGGAAGTGGTTCCGTTGCAGTGTTGGGTCAAGTGGGAACAGGTCCCATTTTGGGCGGGCAGCTCTCTTCCGAGCTATCCAGCGTGTCGTGCTCTGGTGGACACCCAGTCTCTCTTACATGTCGTTAAGTCAGCTACTGGTTTAGCTGAAGGTGCTTCAAGTTTTGTCTGCAAGTGACATAATGCCTGATGTGGTCGAGCGGACTGCGACAGAACATCCTCCGAATCCATCCCGTGGACAGGACGGTCGTCGGCGCCTCACAGCAGGACAAGATGAAGATGAAGAGTTCGGCTCGGCTGACGTAGGGGAGTCTCTCCGCGCTCTTCCCGCTCGTCCGTCTCCTGGTACTGGTGTTCCTGTTTCTCCTCAGCGTGGCCAGCCCGTCCAGCCTGACCATGAAGCATTGGTGTTCAAAGCCCACGTGGACGCCTCCCACCGTCAGGTCATGGCCGCCATCAGCGCTGTGCAGGCCAACGCGCAGGCTCTCTCATCGGCAATGGCCTCTCACGCCCAGAACGTTGACAAGCAGGTCGAGCTTCGCATGCGGAAGGCGGAAGCTATGCCCAGCGGTCACGAGAATCGCATCAGTACTTTGGAAACAAAAACAGATCCTGCACCTAACGGAGCAGATGTGGTGCATCAAGTCTGAGGAACCCGTTCTTCTTTCTGCGCCAGACCTCACCATCTTGGTCGTCGGCAGCAAGGAGATGGACTCGGCTTCAGCTGGTCGAGACGCTGTCTCCCCGTGGCTCACCGAAGCCAGCCTCGAGGTCGAAGGCTGGGAGATCAGCACATCGGCGACCTCCCCTACGGCGAAGCGGCACGTCATCCAGATCACTGACAGCGCGCAGTGGGCTGCACGCTCCGTTCGTCAAGCACTTGGTGCGCTTCGCAGTCGTGACGGGTCATGGCGCAAGATCTCTGCCCCCACGCTGATGGGCGAAACTGCGGATCTTTTTCATCAGCGTTGACAATAACAAATTTCAGGTACGACGCGAACTTGGTTGCAGACCCATCCGTCGCGAGTTCGAGCAGGTGCACCCCACGTGCTGGCTCTGTTCCAGGCGCAGGCTGATGCTGACGAGTGGCCTCTTTAACGCATTCCTGAGGCCCCAGCACGCTTCCAGTTCATCCAGAGCCTCCCTCAGTTCCGACAGCTGGAATGCGAATGCCCCCTTTCCGCCGCCACTGCCCGACCCGCTCCGCGAAGTTCACTATCTCGCCCCTCTCATGTATCCCGGCAGTGTGGTCGCTGTGCAAGGGGCTCGCGGCGCCGAGGAGGAAGGTCGTAACGTGGTTCATGTGTGCACAAGCCGTACGAGTGCCACGCCAGTTTTCAGATGGCCCTGGCCCTGCGGACTCCGGCGTGTCCCAGTGGATCCCCGACCCCTGCTCCGCTGGCGTCATCGCGCTGGCTTCAGTTTCGTCGAACCCAGAGGACAACTTTGAGTCGTTTTCAGAGGTTCTCGTCCCTTCCCGCGCATTCTGCGTAATTTTGGTTTTTGATCCTGGGAGCTCCTGGATCGCATTGCAACATATGCAATTTCGAGCTTTCGGCTGACCAGAAGAGAAATATCACGCAACGTATCGCTCAGAATTGTTCCCTCGCTGCCGATGATCTCTAGCGCCGTCTGGTCGCCGTCGCCGGTAACTTCGACATCGCCGCATCTCTCTTCCAATCCCTCTGGGCCCGTCCCAGTTCCAGGGCGCGGCCTTGGGTATCAGACTTGGCGTGGCACACAGGGCCCGATCTGGCGCTCGTGCTTTTCTTCTCTTGTGGAGATCCAGCAGCAGGATCCCATGCGTGTCTACGTGCCCAACGGGGCGATGAGCATCGTAGACATGGCGTTCACTTCGCCCCCAGCCTAGGTGGTCCTGCAGCTGAACATTTGCGGCGACGCCCGTGGCCAGGCGGAGATTGCGCGCAAACAGAAGCTCTCGGATCACGCTGCCATTCGGATGGGCTTCGGAATTGCCCTTCAGGAGGGCCCCGACGCTAGGGGCATCCAGGGGGGCTTATTCGGGATTGAGATTTACGGGAGGTTCATGAAGGCCCACCTGGACGCTTGCAACCTTGAGGGCCTCTCCCCTCCCACCAGGCTCGTGTATATTGATGCGCCGATGAAGGAAGGGGCCCGCATTGCTCGCCACTGCGCGGCGCGCATGGCGCTCAGGATGGTTCGTCTCTTCAGGGCAGTGTTCTTGTAAATCTAGTAAAGAAGGTCTTTTGGTCGAGCAGTTTGGCGTCGGTGCGTCCGCCGTGGCTCTCGCCCGGCCCAGTCGCGCCCGCTGGCGGGCCGCTTCCTGGGCAGTTGCCAGGCGTCGAAGCGCCGCCGGGCCTCTTGGAGGGACGACCCCACTGGATCCGAACGCAAACGACTCAGGCAACGCCCCCAGAGGCTCCAGGAGAGATCCAAGCCTTGGCTTATTTTTGACAAGCGTCTGCATCCCCGCGGAATTCGAGAAGGCGAACGCATGTCCTCGGCCCCTTTAAATCTGGCGCCACCATCTCGGGATACCTGCGCGAGGTCTTTCGCGACAGGTCGAGGCCGATGCTGCCTGCGAAGGCCTGCGCTGAGCTACTCGCATCGCGCGTCGATCTTCGCCAGTTTCCGCCACCGTCGCAGAAGATGATGGCCGCTGTCCTTCGCCGCCTTTCCCGCGGCGCCCTGGCCCTGACTGCGCCCCGCGCGCTGCCTGGCAGAAGACCGCCCGCGCGATCGAGGTTTCGATTGAGATGATGTTCTGGCTCCTGGACGGTGGGCTCTCTCTCTCTCTCTCCATCTATCTATCTATCTATCTATCTATCTATCTATCTATCTATCTATCTATCTATCTATCTATCTCTCTATATACATATATATATATATTTCTTTATTTCTTTATTTCTGGATTTCTTTCTTTCTTTCTTTCTTTCTTTCTCTCTCTCGTTTCGACGATCTCCTGGGGGTGCCCATTCCGAGGGGGGGGGGGGGGGGCAGGGCGACCACGATGAGGGGGGATGTCTCACACAATGCAGTCAGCCTAGACCCCTGGGCCCCACGAGCACGGACAACAACATCGTCGCTGCCGTGCGCGTGGTCTCGCGCCCCGGGAAACGGCCGAACGTCGCCAACGGTCTCCAGCGAGGCTTATCCAGGGGCGCCAGTTCGGGGCCAATATTATTGAGCTCGACGCCTGCGCCCGCGCGTATCTTTGTTTCCCAGTGCAGATATTGACATGCCCGCCCTCGTTGCCTTCGACTTTGCGCAAGCCTTCCCCTTCGGTCTCGCATCTTTGGATTCACCGAGTGCTGCAAGCGATTTACCTGCCCGACGCCCTGGTCGAATTTCTGATGATGCTTTACTCGGGTGTTAGCTGTTTCTCAGAAGTCGGAGGAAATCTGGCGTTCATGTGCCCGATCCTCTCTGGCATTATCCAGGGGCGCCCAGCTTCTGGAAAGTTTTTGGCAGTCTTTATGAACCCTTTCGTTTGCGACTTCGACCGGGCGTCTGTGGCTAAAGCTCGCAGGGTCCTTTACTGCTGCGCCGACGACGCTGGCGCGTCCATTTTGAAGGTGCAGTGCATGCGCCAGCTCTTCAGGGTTTGCAGCACGGTTGAAAAGCTTGCGCTCGTCGTCTCAATACATGCAAATGCCGCATTCTGATGTTGGCTGGTCCATGCTCAGCTCTCGCCAGACAGCACTCGATGATGTTAGCCGCCCTGGCCCCCGCCTGTCCCGCGCCGCTCCTGAAGTGGCGCCGCCGTTCTTTCGAGCTGCACGTCGCGCAGTTCCTGCCGCCGCCAGCTGACCTGCCCCCTTTCGAAGCAGCCGTGCTCGCCAGTGTGTTCCACGTGCCACGTTGCGGCTTCGCCCGTTCGACTTAACACGACTGAGGGGAACTGGGTGGTCCGGAGATCCGACCGTCGGAAAGCGTTAGCCTCGATTCCACGGTCAGAGCTGCTTCGACGATGTTCGAGTGGACGGAGAGAGATAGAAAGAGAGAGAGAGAGAGAGGGACAAAGAGAGAAAGAGACAAAAGAGAGAGAGAGAGAGAGGGAAAGAGAGAGAGAGTCTGACTTGATTGTCTCGCGCTGCTCGGCAGCGCCTCCCGGTCGTGGACTGGCAGCGTCAAGCTGATTCGCCCGCCTTTTGGAAGACGGAGGCCATCTGTCGGCACTTTGCCGAGGTGCACGCAGGCTTCCCATAATCTCGGAGGTGCAGTACAGCAGGTGGCGCGAGTACGAATGTCCGGAACGCCTTCCGAGATCGCGTGTCCCAGGAACTCAGCCCCAAGAACTTCAAGATGCAAAAACAGATTGTTCAACAACTGACCCCGATTTTCTTTCCTGAGCCCCCGTCGGCCCTGTTTAGTGCGCGCCTTGTCCAATGGTTTCCTGATAAACAGGGACTCGCGTCCTTGCCGTTGACTGGGAGGCTGCGCGCCTCACCTTTGTTTCCCTGCCTACCGCTCTCGCTTCGGCCGGCCCGAGGATGCGCTCGAAGCGCTGGCTAACTCAGTGTCGATTTCAACAGACTTCGAATGCTTACTGCTTGCTGGGCTGCGCGGAGTGCATGGCTGGCGCCGGTAGTACAGTTCACTACGGGCACTGTGTGATTTTCGTTTCTCTCTTCTCGTCTGTTGTCGGCTCCCTGTCTCCTTGTCCGCTCGATCGTCTCGGCGTCATTTGTCCCGCCCGAGAGTCGATGCTTG